CCTAGCCCCGCCTCACCTGGTCGGCCCGCCCCGCCCCCGACTCCCTTAAAGGCCCCACCCTCGTCCCAGCACGTGATGGCGTAAAACGTAGCGTCACCCTTGGGTAGCCATCTTCGTGAGGTCCAGAGAAGCCTGTTTCTACGGACCTGTTTCTAGGGTGGGAAAGAGGTGTGACATCCAGTTACGCAGACACTTCAAGATATGGCAAGCAGTGTGCTTAACTTCACCTACTTGAGAGTGAGTCAGCTAATTTTTAACAGAATTACAATGAGCTTGTGACTGTAAGTGTTCTAGCCGAGAAAGCTTCAGAAAGCCACATTTAAGACTTATTAAAGGCTAGTAGTTTTCCTGACTTTTGTATTTTTCTTAAATGTATTTCTGTACTACCCACTATTTTGTCTTCGCCTCCAGACTTCAGTAAGATTGGAAAGGAGCATGGGAGCATTTAGGGTATGAGGTATTTGGGATCCTGAGTGATTGGTGGAACCAGAGAGGAGCTGGAGTGAATTGCCTGGTACAGCTGGAGAGAAGAAAGGATTCAATCAGAAAGCCTTGATATAGAGCCTAGGTGTGAGCAATGGAAGCCTCTTAAAGATGTTAATCAGGAAAATGACATTCTGGTGTCTTCGAAAAGTCACTCTGGAAGGAAGGTGCAAACTGGATTACAGCGCGGCAAGACTGGACACATGAAGAATAGTTAGGTACTTGATGAAAAGTCTAGGTGAAAGTCTAAGCAAGTAGCACTGCTGATGAGAAGAGAGAAAGTATGAACGATGATAGAAAAGAATAAGGAAGGAAAATATGAGAGCAATCAAAAATGTCTCCAAGAGTTCTGACACTTCCTGTACCATTAACCAGCATAGTGAAATACTGTTCAGAGAAGTATGTTTGCTAGTGGAGAGCAAAGATCACCCAGATTAAGATAGACATGGCTAGATGCCTCACAACATACCCTTTCCCATGTCTTAAAATATTTTTAAGCCATTGTTACATTGATTGGTAGGAATAGAGTCTTAGTCTCATATTTTTTATATTTAAGGTACACTGGAGACATCCTAAAGAGGTCAAATTGGCCAACTCAGAGAAGTATAAGCTGGACACATAAATTCACATGTCAGTTGCATTTAGACAAAGTGTCTAATGGAAGAGTCCCTGGAATAGTAATAGGGAAAAGAACAATGAACAGAAATGTGTGGAGTAATTAACAATATTGAATGGTGTTCAGAGGTTTAAATAAAATGAGAAATGGAAATGTCATTTCTGGCGTCTCAGCATGGGGTCACAGATGACTTTAGTCAATGCTGTGTTGCTGGAACAATGGGCTTGCAAGTCACAATGCAATCAATACAGAAGTGAGTTTCAGATATGGGAGTGGCATCTACAAGCACGTGATTCTTTTTTAAAAGAATTTTTTTTTACTGTGCTACATCCATGGCAGATGATTCTTTTTACAAGGTTGGAGGTGAATGGGAAAAATATTGAATGGTAGGCAGGAAATATGAAGTATTGTTTTGTTTTAAAACCAGCCATGGTGCTCAGTCTGTATTCTCAGCTATGGAGGAGGCTGCAACTGGAGGATCAAGAATTTGAGGTCAGCCTGGGCAAATTATTGAAAACTAGTCTCGATGATGACTACGATGATGATGATGATTATATATTTTGAATTGGTTTGTTTTTTCATGAGCAATAATTTGAGTAAGAGAGTATGTGAGAGAGATTGACTACAAGAAAGGGAGTGTTAAGAAACATTAGATAATAATGGCTAAAGGGGAAGCAGGAAGGGGAGGGGAAAGGAAATAAGGGAAAAGAGAAAATGAAAAATGGAAAAAAAAAGTCTTTGTAAATAGAGAAGGATAAGGTGAAGGGAGAGTGGGGATATGGGGACAAAACAAGAACCAAGACATATGTAAAGGTATAAGATCCCAACGATAAATGTAACTATATTGTTTGCTTTAAATGTACTGATAAACTTAATGGGAAAAAATATATAATAATGATAGAAAATTGGGAAAAAATAAAAGTCAGAGTGTAAATGGGAGATTTGGACACAGTAGATTAGATAATAGCAGAAACAGCTCTTCAAGATGAAAAATTGGAAGGGAAGGGAAGATAGAGTTAAATTACAGTTTTTCATCTCTGTATGTGATTACAGCAACATTCTATCTGAAATGTGCAAAGTAAAAAGGATAATTTCTTACCAGCAGAATAACTTTAAGAATAAAAAATGCACATGAAAATATAACCTATTGATTATGTAATTCATAGCTCCTTTTCTGGAAAGGGAATTCCTAAATGTACTAAATCTAATGAGCCAATCTTAAGTGATTTTTTTTTTAAAAGTGAACTTCTTTTATGAATTCATAAGTAATTAGTGCAATCATTATCTTATTTTTTATATTTTTAATATTTGGCTTTAGAATATATTTTATTATCCAGAAGTGATGTTATGCTATATTCTATTACATAGTCTTAGTTAAGTAATGGATCTTTGATTAGCTAAGATTAAACTAGAATATCAATCACATTTCCATAATTTGCTTTAGTAGTGACACCATGAACTTCCCCTAACATTTTTGTTAGTGTGTTAATAAAGCCAGTCTTTAAGCTATTTTTTAAAAAGCTATTTTTAAAAGCAAGCTAACACTTGCTAGAAACTTACATTCTACCTCTACTGCAGCACATGGTTCTCGAGTGTGGTTTGTGGCCACCCACTAAGATTTTTGATTTTATATGATCAGTTTTGAGTGTAAACTTGATTTTTTTTTCTTATAACAATGTACACTAAAAGTCAATGAGATTCTACCTTACTCCAGAAAGAATGACCAAAATGAAGATAAAATAATAGCAAATGCTTGTGAGGCTGTGGGGGAAAAGGAATCCTTCTGAACTGTTGGTAAGAATGTAAACTAGTACAGTCACTATGGAAATCCATATGGAGATTCCTCAAAAAACTGAAACTACAAATTCCATTTGATTCAGCTATACCTATTCCTTTTAAGCCTCTTCCCAAAAAAGTTAAAGATATGTTACTGCAATGCGTGCATACCATGTTTATAGCAATACAAATCATAACTGTTCAATCTTGGAAGCAGCTTATATTTCCACCAACAGATAAACAGATAAAGAAAATATGGTATTTTCCACCAATGGAATATTAAGCTGCCATAAAGAAAGAAAAATGAGTCATTTGTGGGGAAGTGGATGTAACCTGAGACCATAATGTGAAATAAATCAGACAAATAAGTTTAAATATTACATGGTTTCTCTTATATGAGAAACCCAAGATATAAATAAAGAGCAAAATAAAAATAGATGATAAGAAGAAGGGAGATCTTTCTCAAATGGGAAGGGGATCAAGAGATGGAGGGAAGGAGAGGAAATAGGGATGAAAAAAATGGAATTAAGATGTGTTATATACATGTACCAACTCCATGCAAGGAATGTTAAGTGTGGTATAACATAAATTTAAACTAATAAAAAAAGTCTTTAAAAAAAGTGTCCATGAACATTGGAATCCTTATCCAAAGAATGCTATCCTTTTAATTAGTTGAGGTGAACCCAAGATTTCAGATGCACCTGTGAGTTCCTTTTTCCTATTAAATAGGATGAACAAAATAAGTTTTAGGGATAATATTACAAATAGCAAGCCGCTCTAGCCGCTCTAGAAAATAACAAAAACAAATGCTAAACCCATCCCATCACAATTCATACAGTCATTCATTTTCACTGAGCAAGGTATTTTAGGTCCTGTAAGGTGTACCAGACACTGTATGGTACAGTGGCAGTAATAGAGGTGTTCCTGCCATTTTGCAGCTTACATTGTAATGGGTGAGACAGAATTAACCAAATAATTACATAAATAAATGTATAATTACAGTGTGATAAGTGCTATGAGAGGATTCCCTGGGAATGTACAATAAGTGGATTTGACTTGGGGTGGAGGTGCAGGGAGTTGTTCAGAAGAAGCTGGATCTGGAGCCTGAAACAAGGCTAGACATTTTGTAGGTGAAATAGTGAAGTCTATTCTATGCAGACAGAAGATTGTTCTTTCTTTCTTCTGTCCAGTCCCAAAGCTCCCTAACCCCGGCCCTCTAAATTATCTATTTCACTCATAGTCTTTACTACAGCTTAGATTACACATTTTAGCTATGCCAAGTACTTTAATCATCATAGCCTGCATGTCCCAATCTGTGTACTCAGGTGCACCAGGTGGACCATGATGAAGTAGAAAAGCACCACTGTTATGTCTTGTAGCTAGATGCCCCCACCACAGACACATATGCTCATAGGTGGGGCTTTGGGGAGGTGACTGGATCATGGGTGTGCAATACTGTGTTGTTCCACTGATGGGTTTATAGCTAGGTGTGATGATGAGAGAGGAAGCCTGGTGGGAAGAGGTTGGTCACTGTGGGCAGAGCCTGGAGATATATATCTCCCACTTCCCTTGAGCACTTACTGCCGCCTGCCTGCCATGCCATTGACTGTTTCTCTTCTGCTGTGCCCCTGTACCATACCACCCTTTGGAACCAGCCAACTGTGGACTGAAACCTCTACCAACTTCAAGCTAAAATAAACTTTTCCTCCTTTAACTTGTGGGAGTCAAGTATTGTGTACCAGAAATGAGAAAGTAACTAAGACAACAATCATAGAATATTTTAAATTTTCAAGGCCAATACAGACATCAGTTGGACATCACCACTAACTTGAGGTAATTCATAATTTCAATATTAAGTTGTATTCTGTTCTTTTTTAATGGCACATATCTTTGTAAGGCTGCTTTTGTAAGTTGCTGTGATAAAATACAAGGACTGAGGGAATATTACTATGGAACTATAAATGAAGATGGTAGTTTCCACTCTGATTTGAAGGTTTGAAAATTTTTAAAATACCCACAGAGGTATACAGTGCATTGATAATGAAATTTTAAAAATCAAATGTACATGTATTATTTTTAAAAATAGCTACTAAGTTCTTAGAATAGGCATGTATAAGTTTGGACTTTATTTGATAAATGGAAATTTTAAGTATTTCCTTTCCTCTATAAACCATAAAAAATTACTGAGACATTGAAAATAACATGAACTGAGAAAATTTGGGAACCTTACAAAGAT